TGTAACAATTTTTATAATTAATTGCAAGTATTGTGATTTTTTTTTTTATCAGATGCTTAAATTATAATATAACATTATAAAGATGCTATACATAATATTACATACTTATTTAAAATCCAAAAAAAAAAATTTCAACAGAAAAGTCAATAAGGAATTCATTATATAAACATACTTGGACATTACTCCAGCAGCTAACCCAAAAGGTGAAGCATTTGCTCTAGCAACTGCTTCTTCTTCATTATCAAATGGTAATATGGAAACCACAGGGCCAAATATTTCTTCCTTTACTACTGTCATATCATCATTGCAATTAGTAAGGACACATGGAGATATGAAGAAACCTTTTAAATTTTCTTTTTCAGGAACTATTCTCTCACCTCCACAAGCAACAGATGCACCCTTAAGATTAAAAAATAATCTATCATCATTATTAAAATAATAATATGAACAGATAAACAAATTTTTTTAAAAATTGTTCCAGTGGCTTCATTCATAAAATACACTAAGATATCAGAAAGTCTGTATTAATCAAATAACATTATTAATAACAAGAATTCAGTTTTTTAGCAACATTTATGTTTTGATAATATTATTTACAGTTCTATATATAATCCAAAATTATGTAAGACATTCAAATTTAACATAATAGCTATTAAATACAGCTTAAATTTAGTGTAAAATAAAATCAAAATTTGACTATAGAAAATAAAATCAATAATAACATCACCTAATTAATTATAGTTTAATGTTTCAAAAAGAATGGAACACAACAGTTTTGTTTATACTTACTTAAATGAAAAAAAATGTCTAGTTTTTTTTCAGAAAAATGGTAATTAGATATTAATGCAAATTAAAAATTAAGTAAAATTTTGACTTAGTAATTAAAAAAAATTCCTTTAATGACATTTACTTAAAGTTTTTATTGATTATAACAAATTTTAAGTTAAATTATATATATAAATGTAACTTACAATTATATGTATATATAAATGATTAGAAATAACTATTTTTCAGATTTTTGAAAACACAAAAATAGATCTTATAATTTTAAAGGGTGACAAAAAAATTAATAAACTAATATGTTCAAGTTTTATTAAAAACATTTTGTACTTAAAAAAACAGAATGAAAATTATAAATTTTGTTTACAAAATAATGCAAATGTTTTTAAAATATAATAATAAACTTTGAACTAAATTAAAAACAAGAATAAAAAACACCACTAATTTATAGCAATTTAAAAATTCATTATAAATAAATAGTTAAATTATATTATAAAGTGTACTATGCAATTGCTAATTAATTTAAATTCAAAAATTACAGAGCAAAACATTTTGAACTCATGATGTAATAATAAAAGCCACTATAATTTTAAAAATACCTCTTTCTTTGCTATATTAATGAAATCCATAATTTTATTTCCATGTCTTTCATTAATTATGACTCCAACTTTAGTATCTTCATCAAATGGATCACCTATTTTCAACTTTTTGGTTGAATTCACTAAATTATCTGTAAATTCTTTTAGAACAGATTTCTGGACAAATACCCTAGTACAGTTTGAGCAAACCTATAAGGCAAAGAAATGATATTTTAATAAAATATAATAAAACATTAGCTATTAAATGATATATAATAAAACATTAACTATAATCCGCAAATAAATTTTTAAAAAATCTTATTATCTGTGATACTATAAAATAAATAAAAATTAAGAAAAATTTTTAAAGTTTAAAATTGAATAAATGAATGACTTCTAGTCATTAGAACATTTAAAACATTTAATCCACCTTCAATTGTAATTAATTCAAGTTTTTATATAAAATAAAAAGTTCAATTTTAAAGCAATACTAGTGCCAAAATATGTAATAGTAATTATTTTTTCTTACTTTATTAAACTTCACTTTTTCTTTTATAGAGAATATATTTTATTAAAAAATAAAAGAAATACTGCTCAATAAATTAATGCTATATAAAAATTTACTAATTGGAAGGATGTCTTTCAATATTTTTATTAAAAAAAGTAATGTTAAATAAAAACTAATTTCTACAAACACATGAAATAAAAAAGGAAAATAGATATTTTTTAGTATTAAAATCTGGAAATTATAACCAATTAAATGCCCCACATACAAGATCTTATGAAAAAAAAAAAAAAAAAAAATACAACTGACCTCACCCTGAGTGAGAAAATTTCCTAGCAATGTAGCCTTCACAGCATTAACAATATCACAATCAGAAAATACAATCAGTGCTGATTTTCCACCAAGTTCCATCGTAACTTTCTTCATTGTATCAGCACAAGATTTGACTATTTTTTGGCCAGTTGGAACACTTCCAGTGAAGGTCACTTTTGATACTCCAGGATTTTTGCAAATGTATTCTCCAGTTTCAAAACCCCCCTAAAACACATAATTTTGTTAAAATATTGTATAAAACAGAAGGAAAAAAAGGTCTTATTGTAATGTTTTTTTTAAGTTAATAAATTTTAATTTATAAAAGGGACAAATTTCATTATCACATAATTTCTACTAATATCTACCCAAATAAAAGTTTTTTCAATTCCAGAAATTCCGTGATAGTGAGAGGTGTCCATTAATTATACAAAACACTATTTACTTCATATTGACATAATTTTACATTTTAAATAACTTCAAATATTAATCATATAACTGAGTTTATATAAACTATTGAATGAATAAATAAATATTGAATAATTATCATTAACAGGCTTATATTATAACATTTTTTTACCTTCTATTTAAAATTATTTCTTATATACTTAATTTGTTCTGTATTTTAATGAAATTATATAACCATGTTAAATAATATAGTAATAAAATCTAATAAAATTTAATTTTTAATCTTGTAGTGATTTGTAATATTTTACACAATTCAATAATAATAAAAATTTGTTAAAAATTTTACATATTTAATAATTTTCATCATCATTCTTGTAAAAAACAAATTACAGAACTTTTTTATTTTAATTTCAAAGTATTCCTTCATACTCCCTGTACATAAATTTTTATCATATAAGAATTGTCAATGTTAATTTCATATCAGACAAAAAACATTCTATTAGAAAAAATGAGTTATAAGAGATCAGAGAACCTTGATGGATTGGCAGCACCAGTAATATTGATATACAATTGAAATTTAAGTATATTAAAAATATATATTTATTAGGAATTCCTTTCTTTTGGAGAAAATAATATTTAACATTAATTAGTGATACTTTTCACATAATCATAATAAAGTTTTCATTGATTATTATTGATATTAGTTTGCACTCACAAAATAAACTTGCAGATTTGAAGAATTTCAAATATTTATGGGCATTTCTGTAGTTTTATTAATTTTTAAATCCTTTCCAATTTAAAAAAATAAAGCAAAATGGAATTTTAATAATTAAGCAATTTAGTAGATAATCAATTAATTAATTAGTAATTAATCAATATGAAAATTAGAAGTCTGAAGTGCTTATTTTAAACCCCAGCTAATAATAAAATTGTGTAAAAAAATACATTAATGTATAAAAATACGAGATTTTAAGGTATATAAAAGATATGATATATAAAATCAAAAAGTAAAAAAGAATTTATGTATATTTTATAGAATTACATAATTTTAAAAGAACAAACGTTCAACCCTCGGAAGATTTTAGCCAACATGAAACACCAATTTTAATGAATAGGTAATTAAAAAGTAACAATAATAAAACAAATTGAAATCTAGAAAATTAAGTTACATAAGTCTATTTATATTACCAAATTTTTAAGTCAAAGAATACAATATCTAGACAGAAATATTCATTATAGGGTTTCAAAAGAAAAAAAAAGAAAAAAGGATGGTTTAGGAAAATATGAAATTAGAAACTTTTAAGAAATTGGAAATTAGGGGTAAAAACTGGAATATATGTATTTTAATTACCTGTACTATATTAACAGCCCCAGGAGGTACTCCAGCTTCAGTTAAAATCTCAGCTAAAATGACAGAAGTGATAGGAGTAAATTCAGATGGCTTATATACAAATGCATTTCCACAAATGAGAGCAGGTGCAGCTTTCCACGTCATTACTTGGAATGGATAATTCCATGCTCCAATTCCAGCCACCACGCCAAGGGGTTCTCGTTGCACCATTGCAAAGTTGCCATCAGACAGTTGGTGATGAGTACCTATATATATATCGAAATTTTTTTGAAGCAAAAATTCAATTAAAAAAAAGATGGGATGAGAGAAAATCTAATAATTCTTTTACTCAGTCTTTTAAAGAAAACAAATGTTTATTTAATTAAAATTCAATAATATCTTATTTTAAGTTAACCATATTTCAGAAGCATAATTTGATACAGCTCTGATCGCAGGGAAAAAGCAAAACAGTGAAAATTGCATTTCTTTCTTACAAAGGTGCATTTTCGAAATAAAAATTTTAATAATATTAAATACAAAATATCAGAAACTATTGGTATAAATGGAATTAATAACAGAGCAGAATATTATGTTTGTTGTTTAATAGTTCAAATTAAAATAAAAGCTATTCCAACTTAATTAAATTTAAAAAAACACACCAGGAAATATTTTATAATTAATTATTTTAACACGTAATATTAAATTTAAATTATAAACTTTTAAAAAACAAAAATTAAATTTAAATTAACTATAAAAAGTTTTAAATAAATATTAAAATAATCATAGCATGCTTGGAATTCTTAAACAAATTATGTTGTTGTTGTTTCTTATCCCACTTGCCTGGCCAAGCCCACGAGCCCATACGTACTCATGATTGAAGGGGAAGGAAGCAGCTTCTGTTGTGATGGAGCACCCGTAGGTAGAAGTCTGACTTTTGCTCCGTGACGCTCTTACAGTCATAGGAGACTGGGACCTACAGCTTAAAGTGGATTCCGAACCACTACAAACATCCATGGCACCGCCGGGACTCGAACCCGAAACCTGTGGCACCGAGCGCCAGACACTCGGCCATTCAGGTCCCAAATTTGCCAACGGCACTTGGTGTTCCCAGGTGGTCACCCACCCAAGTACTGACCGCGCCCAATGGTGCTTGACTTCCGTGATCTAACGAGAACCGGTATATTCAGCATGGTACGGCCAATACGTACAAATTATAAATATATAGTACATTAAAAATACTGACTGCTTTTTAAAAATATTTAAATTTCTAGAAATTATAAATAATTAAATATTGTTCACAATCATTTTAAAAAAAGTTCTTTTTTTCTAGCGATTTTTTTAATTGATATAGAAGTTATGAATACAATAGTTAACTAACTTACCACTGATAGTCGATGCAATTCCTCCAAAATATTCTAACACATCTGCACAACCAGCTATGTCTATCCTAGCTTCCCATATTGGTTTACCAGTATCTATCACTTCAGCAGAAGCTATTTCTTCTAAATGTTTCTGAAAAAAAATATGATTAAAAACCAACATATCAAGAATAAAAAGAAATTACAATCAATTCTAAATTATAAAGTGAAAAATTATTCATCAGATAAAATATAATAATTATATGATGAACATATAAACACAAGTACATAATAAGAATTGGTAAAAAATTTTTTAAAGGAAACAAATGCCTTATCAAAGTTGAATGAAGTTTATGAACACATAAATTTGAATATATGTTTCTTTTAAAAATTACTTTAACAAACCAAAGTTCCACAACATTTTTTTTTTTTTAAATTCAAACTACCATATTTAGATTTAAAAATATGTAAAAAAGCATATGATTGCAAAAAATTGATTAAGATATTCTTTTTTAATTGTGACATTTTTGAAATTAAATTTAATGCTCATGAGTAAACATTGAAAGGAGAAAAAAAAAATTCTTTTAAAAAACATAGTATTACAAAATAAATTTTTATTATTAAATGATTAATGACAATGAATAACTGTTTTAAAATTCATAAAAGAGCTTTAGCACTTAATTAAAAATATATATATATATTTTCAATAATAATAAGCAAAATTTGAAAGCTTTAATGCTTAGAATATTAATATTGAAACAAGACTAACACTGAATTATATAAACATAAATTATAATAACTGAATTTTATGGATTTATCATTACTATGTAGATAAATTTTTATAAAGTTTGGTTTTGAAATAAAAACATATTAACAATAAAATAAATTTTTATTACTTCTTAGCTAACTAACTAAAAACCAATAAATAAATAATAAAAAGTAATAAATAAATCACCAAATTTCAGTGTACCCTTATTTGATTAGCAGCTGATAATAAAACTTGTCCTCTCTCACGGGGACATTTCTTTGACCAAATATGAAATGCTTCTTGAGCATTTTTAATTGCTTTCTTTACATCTTCTTCACTTGTGCAAGGTAGATCAAACATAAAGGCTCCTAAGATATTATTTTTATATTACAAGCAGCTCAGAAGGTATTAAAAAAAATAATAAGTATCAAAAATTATTGTCCTAAATCAATCAATACATGAAAAGTAAAGTTAAAAAAATGTTTTTCTGCTAAATAATGGTATTATTAGAATAAGTTCATCTATTATGAATGTATTTCATCATCAATTTTAAATTCCTTAACACAGAAAAGTCAAAATGCTACAAAACTTAATTTGGTTTAATTTTCAGATTTAAGCTCACCAAAGGCATCATACTACACAAAAATCAATAATTATAATTGAGAGGACAAATTTTGATAAAGGCTAGGAAATTATAGTAAATATATAAGAAGGAGTTACAGCATTTCTCATAAAAATAATTTCTGAATGTTATTTTTGAAAGGGAGAGAAAAATCAATTCAAATACATCATCTTTGTTTATTTTTCATCTTTACAAGTATTGATAAAATCATCAAATACAGTTTATGTTTGCTAAATTTTTTTGATACAAACTGAGAAGAATTAACAATAACCACAAAAGATATAATTATAAATAAGGCCAAAATTTTCAACTTGCATCATTTCGTAGGAAAAATGCATCTTACGCTTATGCTAGACATGAATTTTTTCTTCAATATCTGGCTAATTATGTTTATATTTAAAAGATTTATTTATTCAAATTTTGTTCAAGCACACTTTATTGTAACAAAATTTGGATTTTAATTACTAGTATTATCAAAAATATAAGTGAAATTAAGTGATTTTATGGTTATTTTATAATAATAATAATACTGAAATAGATAATTCTTTCAATAACTTAATACCACAATGTGAGCGATGGTGACTGTTTGAATATGAATATTGTAAGAACATCAATAAAACATACATTAGGCAATATATTCATTAATATCAATAAAAACTTTCATGTGTTATAAGAAATATTAAACAAAAACAAGAATAACAACTTATGATTTAAGAGTAAAAAATAACAATTGCAAAGCAAGATTATTAGTTTTAAAAAATTTGTTTTAAAGTTGATATTATCATTACCTGTGGCTGGATTTCGTTTTTCAATTGAACGTAAAACCACACTTGGCAAAGATCTTTTGCCATTTAAAAAATTTAAAGGTTGCCTTGATTCCATAGTGTAATACCGGTTAATATTTTGCAAGAGAATTTTAGAAAATGGTCTGGAAAATTTAATCATAATAGGAGTTGCAATGATTCCTTTTTGCACCTACTGTAAAAGATAAACACGTGTTTATTTTAAGCGTTCACATATTAATTCAGTCATTTTTCAATTTTAATAAATATATTAAAATAATTACTGTACAAAAACCTAACATTTTATTTTTTAAAAGTTCGAAGAAGTAATAAAAATTTGTATATATGTGTTAATTGATGGGAAAATATAAAATCTTTCAAAACTTCTGTTAGCTCAAAATAAATCTTTTATTTATTTATTTATTTTTTTTTAAAGTTACACGTTGAAAAAAAAAACAAATAAAAATTTATCTTTAACTTATTTAGAATAAAATTTTCTTAATACAACAGAGGTCAAAGGTAGAAAATCGAAAATACATTTTATATTTTGTCATTAATAAAATCTCTGATATAAAGAAAATACCGGTAACAGCTCATGCCAAAGTCCAATTTTGACTATGAGATTTATGTTCGTCAATTGGCTGTTTTATCTTAAGTTACACAATCATGTCTTGATAAAATAAAAACTAGAAACTCGTAAGACACGCCAAATTCCAAGATGACGCATACTGACTTGACTTAATTTTGACAGTTTTGCTCGCCAATGTTATCGCATGTGCTATTGTTTTCGTATTGATAAGCAAGCAAGAGTTGAAGTAGAAGTTATTCCCCTTTTTTTGTAACTTTTATAATGAATCTATTAATAATAATAATAATAATAATAAAAAATTAATAATTATATTTGTCATCTTTTATATTGAATAAATAATAGAATTTGACACTATATGGTGTAAAAGGCTTATAATCTACACAACTCATATAAAATTTTTAATAGTTTCTGGTCAATCAAATTTATTTGCTTCTTAGGCTAGTTCAGAAAGTTCTTAAAACTTTTTTCCCTTTTCAATGTTCGACCATCGCGTCTCCCTCTCATCTCATAGATTGTATTGGTGCCTCTGTGAGGCAACTGTTGAATGAGGGGAGGACAGTTTACGATCTATTGATGCAGCATGATCTACTGGACTTGGTTTAGGATTCTAAATCAAGGGGATAAGCAACAACAACAACAACAACTTTTTTCCGAATACAAATAATATAGTTTTGTCATTTGTGAAATGTTTTTTGCTATATTTTGTTTTTTTAAGAAAAAAAAAATCTAAATAATGCTCTGGTGCGACACCTCTTTTTCAAAGAAATCAATTTATACAAATAAAACTACAAATCTCTCAACTTAGTAAGAAGTATGAATTTCGGTTGTTTACGGTAAAAATTGAAGTTGTATTTATTTATAAAAAAAAATAAGTATACAGAGTTAAATTTACTTAGTTAAATCTTTATAGTTTAATCATTTGCAAAACTATTATTTACTTTGAAAATGGTAATAATGTTTTACGTTTAAAACTTTTTTATTCTTAAGTCGGTAAAATGTAGGAAGTAAATTCAGTTTTTAGTTTACAACGAAACTAAATATTTTTTAAGCGTTAAAAAGTGTTCTTATCTTTTTATTTTATGAATATAAATATAAACACATATGTTTTTTGAATACGAATTAGAATATATATATATTATGAATATGAGACCACATTTTATGAATGTGAAAACACGTTCCTCAAAAGTTTAGTATTGACGCGCCATTAATACAAATTAATTAAAATATAGTTATTAAAAAGCATTTTGAAAATTAGTTACTTGATACAATTTAGTTTCAAAATATTTTACATTTTATTTTAGAACAAATTCATTTTAAGAATGAATGAAACTAATGTTTTTAAGATGAAAACAATTAAGTTAGATAAAAACAATTAAGTTAGATAAAAATCATTCTACTGCTTGTTAAATAGTTTTTAAATACAAGATTGAATATCTTTGGATCTTTAAGAGTATGTAAGGATTTGGATTGAATCAAAATATTTTATTATAAATTACAGGACTATTCTGTTCTAAATTTCATGTTTACAAATTTTAGCTGCTGCTTTGAGAAAATGTTTTCTTCAAACCAGTATGTAACCATTAGCATCAAATTTGTTGCATTTGCCTTTATTAGCAAGTATATTACTGTTAAAATATTTTTTCATGTTTTGGGCAGATGAAATATATAGTCTTCAATTTTTATCAAAAGTAATAAAGACTTGACTAGTAGCTTTGAGATGTATACTCACTAATGCTGCTTTATCTCAACTTATCCGAATACAATAAAAATAAAGAATCTTGCTGTTTGGCTTTCAATTTGGTTAATGAAATTTTTTAAAAAACTTTTGAACTGATACATATTGCATAATTTTCTTGCGGTCTTTGCTTGCATAATTTCTACATCTGTAGGCAATAATCTTTGATTTATGTTTACTTTGTAATGATTTCATTTCATTCCACGAAATAACTTAGTGGACCTCCTCGATCTTGATTTATCGATTATTCTACTTTGTTTTTCATAATGCCTTATGATAAATAATTGAATTATTATCCTTCAGTAAAAATTTTAAAAATTTGGATTGCAGTAATAAACCATTTAATGTAAAATTAAAGTTATCTAA